AACCATGGTCTTTAAATACCCTAAGAGTGCTTGAACAGACTCGGAGTGGTCACACTGTTGGAAGGGCAAGCGAAAATGCTGTATAGGACGCTTCCGGTCACACTGTTGAAAGGGCAAGCGGAAATGCTGTATAGGACGCTTCCGAGAGAAGTCAAGGAGGGCCCTTATGAAGGCATCGTTAAGGAATTAAAGGCGGCGAGGTCATCGCCAAGTGAGCGACTCAAGCTACTGAAGGTACGTCGCACACGTATGAGATGTTACGATAATGAGATAGATAGCTGCAGGTAATGAGATGTTACGTATATCGTTAAGAACGCTCAAAGGAAGTGAACCATTACAGGGCACACCTCCAAGCAGTTTGCACGGATCACCAAAGAGCAGAGATGGGCATCCACCGCCCCGAAATCGATCCCAGAAGGGCAATCGCCAAGGTCGTCGACAGCATCCTCCCTCGCGCGCAGCAGGGGTGAGTCATATGACTATTCTGATCCACACAAATGCTGTTCTTGTGAGTCTGGGTCCCAAGGGCATATAATGGCGCAAACGGCACAGATGATATCGGGATTAAAAAAGGTAATGAAGGCACAGTGCCTTAAGGAGGTGGTAAGGTACAACGGGGAAAACTCGCCAGGAGATTTTCTCAGAACCATGGACTTTAAATACCCTAAGAGTGCTTGGACAGACTCGGAGTGGTCACACTGTTGGAAGGGCAAGCGAAAATGCTGTATAGGACGCTTTCGAGAGAAGTCAAGGAGGGCCCTTATGAAGGCATCGTTAAGGAATTAAAGGCGGCGAGGTCATCGCCAGGTGAGCGACTCAAGCTACTGAAAGAATGGGATACTCTGCAGAAGAGAGATCCCGAAACTGTGAACTACTTCTGTCATCGGATGGAACATCTATCAAGGAAGTTGCATGCTGAGGCGGACCGAGACTTCCTGTACGGCAGTAAGCTTTACCAGTGTTTGGCAGATTGGAGAGACGCTTACCACATGCTCACAGAGCTTGACAGGGCAGACGGTGAAGTCTACCAAGCTGTGAGAAGGGCGGCGTTACGACTGGAGCGCACTCAACAACCGCGATCTGGTGGGAAGCAGATCCTGAGGAAGGACAGTCGGAGTCCTAACCAGAAGGAGCAAGCGGAGAGTGCGGGTGCACACAGTAAGGGCGGTAGGCCCAAGTGTTACGGCTGTGGTGAAGAGGGAAATGTTGTGAAAAAATGTCCAAAGCAGGCTGCGAAGGATGTGAAGCAGCTCAAACAGCCAGGACCAGGTCAGGCGCCCAGCAAAGTGAAAAATGGAACGTTTTCAACCTTTGTCAAGCAGTGGTGCTGCGAAGTGCGCACAGAGGCACAGACAAATGGCATGACGGAAGCGTATGGAAAGCCGTACATCTGCAACGTTACGATCTTTGGAATCATTGCGAAGGCAATGATCGATACAGGATCAGATGTGCAGCTACATGATGCGCAGCCACCATGTGTGCAGTTGCACATATAGGACAGTCCGGAGTCGTTATTACTCCTGAGAACGACTGCACTCAAGGCCTTGGGTGTGGATATAAGGCTGTCACGAGTAACCGCAAGATGAGGACAAGGCGACGAGCAAAATGGCAAGAGTGTCGGGACGATACATAATCCCCCCGGGTGCACCTAGTGTTTTGCTGGTGACGTCCCCAGTCAAAGTGGCTGAGCAAGTTTTCAACTCGAGTGACGAACGTGTAGCATCCGGCATTTGTCGGATAACGGAGAAATTAGCACCATTATCAGTGATTATTAGAGGGAGTGATTCGTGGGTAATCCGCGATGGACAACCCCTCGGTGAATGGAGTTCAGACACATGGTATGATCCTCAGACGAAGGACACTCCGGGTGACATGCTCGAACTAAATCAATCAGGAAGTTCACCGTAGGCAGAGAGAAGATATTGGACGAAAACCGAAGAAGTGGAGAGATGCCGAAGGGCTTGGTCGAGCTCGTAATGGAGTACGAGGACGTTTTTGCGGTTTCTGATTTGGAATTATCGCAAACGGATTTGATCAAGCATGACATTGATGTGGGCGATGCCGCAACTATTCGTCAACGCACACGACCAGTTCCTTATGGCATGCGAGTGGAAGTGGACCGCATGCTGAAGGATTTGAAAATGAGAGAAGTCATGGAGGATAGCCAGTCACCGTGGGCTTTGCCTATTGTACTCGTGGCGAAAAAGGATGGTACCATGCGTCTCTGCGTAGATTACAGAGAGGTTAATAAGGTGACTAAAAAGGACAGCCACCCTCTACCAGCGATTGATGTGACCCTTCAGAACTTGAAAGGCAATAGATTCTTTGCGACGTTAGACTTGGCGAGCGGATATTGGCAGGTTCCGTCGACGGACAAAGCCAAAGAGATCAGTGCATTTACGACAACGTCAGGTCTTTTTCAATTTCGAGTTTCACCGTTCGGATTGACAATAGCGCCTGCTGTATTTCAAAGGTTAATGGAAAATGTTCTTGGCAACCTGATTAGCACGGAAGTGGCGGTATATATCGATGATATACTGATCTCCACTGAGCGCGAGTCAACGCATTACGAAGTGTTGTCGCAAATGTTCGAAGCCTTTCGAAAGGAGCTCTTGAAGCTGAAACCGCAAAAGTGCCGGTTAATGGAAAATAAGATAGACTTTCTGGGACACATAGTCAGTGAGCATGGAGTGCACACCGACCCGGATAAGGTGAAGCGTATCAGGGAATACCCAAGGCCACAGTCGGTATCCCAGCTAAGAGCATTTCCAGGCCTAGCGGGTTATTACAGGAAATTCGTCCTGAATTCGCGCGTATAGCCAAGCCTTGATACGACCTCACGTGCATCAAGAAGGCGTTTGTCTGGGAAGATGCGCAAGAACGGGCGCTTGAAGGCCTCAAGAAAGTTCTTTCAGAAGCTCCGGTATTAGCACAGCCCGATATTAAGAAGGCTAGGATGGTCAGAGACCATTTTACATCTACACGGACGCGAGTAGTGTAGGGATAGGAGCAGTCTTGGCGCAAGAAAGCGATCATGGACATTTGCATCCGCTTCATTTCGCATCGGAACCGTTTTCGAGCGCTGATAGGAACTATCATATCACGGATCAGGAAGCATTAGCCGTTATGTATGCTCTAAAGAAGTTTCACTACTTTGTCTATGGTGTACGGACAGTGGTTCAAACGGATCACGCACCGTTGAAAACACTATTCAAGCGCGCAAATGTGTCCCCGCGTATTCTGCGCTGGGCGTTCGAGATTGAGAGGTATGATGTAGTGATCGAGTCATCAAAGGAACGGCTAATGCGGTCGCAGACGCATTGTCGCGAGGCATTGTGAAAGCAGATACGGCGAAGCCTACGTACACAGAAGACGAAAGGGTTGTTTCAAAGATCAGTGAGTCAGAGTGGCTCGAGGAGCTACGTCAAGATACCGAATTCAAGCAGCTGATAGAGGCCGTTGAAACGAATGTACGAAGAGATACATGTATGATTTTCGCGGTATGACAAGACTCTTTCGTCGCCTGACTTTGTCATCAAATATGGCAAGTTGAAGCTTATCAGGCCAGATGAACGACTGAGAGACGTTATCCCAATGTCCAAGCGGCGCGACGTGTTCATGGAAGCGCATCATGGAACGATGCCAGCTCATTTTGGAGCGCGTAAGATATTCCGGCGGCTGAGAAAACACGTTTTTTGGCCTGGAATGCGTCAGGACGTAGTGAAATGGACACGTGAATGCCAGCGGTGTTTTCTCTTGAACAATACTACAGGGC